CATTAGTAGTTACATAAATATATTAATTTTGGATTAGAAAGGCTAATAGAAATATTAATTTGTTAGCCTGGGAGGGTTTTGAACACATTTTTTAAGCATTCCAAGAAACCAGAATGGAGACATTGGCTATTTATTTAGACCTACAGAAAGCCATAGAAGTTGTGACACTCGGTGTTGTGAAATATATCTGGCCCTCACAGCAGAATTCATATCCATGAACAGCACGTTTTGTCTCATTGCAAAGCACACCTGCAACTTCCAGGGGCACAGTTGGGCAATCTGTTAGCTTTTCATGCTCAAAAAGGAGAGAGTCCCAGTCTCCTCCTATTTTCTTCACTCTCACCCACCTCCACAAGTCTCAGCTGCATGCTTCTGGCACCTGCATCACACCAGCTTTGGTACTCACCAGACCTGCTCAGCCACTGATAGAGGTCTTCACTCAGAAGCCTAACTTACCAAAACTTGCCCCTTCCCAGGACGCTGCATTGTTTCCTGCTCACTGGTGAGTCACAGGTGTTGGAGGTAGCACAAGGAAGAAACAGGACCACATATGAGGAAAACCACTTTTCCACTACAAGTGAGCTATTTCATGAGTTTAGATACTCTTCACTGCAGGTTTCATTACTTTACCGTAACAAACTAAATGAACACTGGAGCAGTTCAAGACCTGATTCACTAGTAGATCCAGTGTCCCTGCCTGTGGGAAGACCTGGAGAGTAACAGCTTCAGCTGTCACATTGCTTGTCTGTCCGTCTCCAAGTACCTTAGAAATGATTCTACAAACTCCCGAAAGCTCTGTGAGATGCCACCAATATAAGCTAGCAGAAGATATTAAGGACTAGTGCTAATTCTACTTCTCCCTGAAGATAGAGGCAACTGTTTCCACTTGGGATTCAGAACCATGAACATCTGCCTTTCTGAAACCAGATATTAAATCCTTTCTTTCAAAAGTAGAACAGAAGTCACACAGCACTGATACTTGCTTTTTATATCATGTGTCCTTACAAGTGCTTGCTGTGTCCTCCACTTGAAGTTAGTCCTGTTCCTGCCGCTGCCAGAGGGGATTCAAACCCTCTTTTTCCCCATGGACACCCCAACCACCAGGCTGGAAGCCAGTCTGGTGTGGTGGGCGGGGAGCGTGGAAATGTTTTCTCCTTTACAGCTGAGGATGGAGGTTGTGTCTGTTCCAAAGAGAATGATTCCGTAGTCTGGCATCGAACACATTTGTCAGAATGGTCTGCTTATGTATTTTAGGTATTTATTTTTGTTACATGTTTTGTCTAATGATGATTTTAATGCAAAAGGGAGTTGTGCAAAGAGCATCAGAAATCTTTTCCTTCCAAAACTCTAGCCAAAAAGTCATATAGTCATGCCATCTAATAACATGCATTTATGTTGTAATACAAACGCATCACTGTTAATTCAAGAAACAAATTTGAAATGGATAGAAGGAAACTATTTCATGAGTAATATATAATTAAACTGTAGAATCCATCATTCTGGGAGGGGTGAATATCTGTAGTTACATGGTTTGTAATCATCCTGCCCCAGGATGTAAGTGCTGACTGAGTGAGGAAAAAAAATGTCCTTGCTGATTACAAGACCCTGCTGTGGATAAGGAGCATTTTGGGGAATTAAAAGAAAAATCCTTCATTGCAGGCATTGCTAGGATTTACCACATGAAGAGAGACTTCTAGTATAGTATCTCTCCTTTTATCATTAATTAAACAGAAACATGACTTGTTATCTATTGTATGTCCTTAACTTTCATGAAACAGACAAAATATCGCACTTCTGTGGGCTTCCATGCATAACCTGCCTAATATGTGCATTATATAAAATCTGACATAATTTAAAAAGATACCTTATTTTGCAAACATCCACAGGCTTAGAGGTGGAACCTTCTACACAGTTTTAAGCAAGTCATTTTTTTAACGTTTCTGCCCTTACAGTGTTAACGTGCTTGTGGCACTGCTTACCCCTGTGTCCATAAGGATGCAATGTGCAATGACAGCCTTATTTACTGCTTCCTCAAATTTATGCTTTTCTGAGTTAGTGAAAGAATGAGAAGAAGGGCAGAGATGCATAGGCTGAGATGCCTATGATAGTGTCTGCATAAATTAGACAAGGTTTACAGGTATGGACAGAGTCATTTAAGTGGTACAGCTGGAAAAATCAACTAAGCCTTCAAGCATACAAGTCTTTTTTCAAATCTGAAAATGAAACAGCAACTTCCTAAGCTAAATACAGAACAACGGCTTAGAGTTTGGTTAGGTATGTGTCAAGTAGACCATCTTTGAAGAAAAGGTTAGTGGCATCCCAGGAGTAATGTTAATCAGAGGATGTTAATCAGGGAAGGGAGAGAGTATTATGAAGGTAATCATCATCTAGGAGAAAGGAGGAGGGAATTAAAACCCTGTAGGAAACTGCATGAAAGTTATGTGCCATAGAAACAGTCTTTCTGTTGAGTCAGTGGTGTATTGGTAAGCAGTCCACCCAGCAGCTTGTCTTAATTTTCCAGATAAACAGGTACATTTAATAAAAGATGACCCCTCTGCCTAGAAACTTTGTTACATTTATGCCCTGAAACTATCAGGACTACGTCAAAATATTGCTGAAACGGAACATGCAGACATTAAGGCAGTAATTAATGTGAGTTATATGACTGCTTATGACCAAAAGAACTTTTTGTTAATAAAACCAGCATTTTCTATTTTAGAGGATATTGATTTCTAACTAGGGAGATGGAGAGCTGCCCAGAGAGCTGTGGAATCTATCCTTAGAGGTGTTAAAGATCTGCTGGGACAAAGCCCTGAGCAGCTTGCTCCAAGGTCAGTTTTGACCCTGCTTTGAGCAGGAGGTGGGCTAGTGACCTCCCGAGACCACTTCCAGCCTCAATGATTCAGTGTTCATTTCAGATGTCTGATTTACCTGATTAAGATGGGTGCGTCCTCTCTCTTGGACCAGCAGCCATACACTCCTTCCATAGGCAGGTCAGGGTACCTCAGTTGAGTACTTTTCCCCATAGTGTATTAATGAAGCCTAAAACTCAATGTCTACATTTAGACAGTATTAATTCTCCCTACACAGTAACAATGGTTTTCTTTTAGTAGAACTGCTTTTCCCTGAGAGGAACAGCACAATGTTCTTACAGTACAATTAAGTCTTAAAATCAACTAACAGGAATACAAAGCTGCTATTTTTCCTTGACATGTGCACAGTGTGTTCAGACTCCTCAAACCAAAGCAGTTAGCTGGAAAGTCCTTATTCTTTAAGTTGATTATCTTAGTTTACATAGTCTGGAACTAGCAATGCTACTTTGATCCTCACATTGACGACCTTAAATTTTCTCAAGACAGAAATTCCATTTTTTCCTTAATTTTTGTTAAACTTATTTGCTGCAGCCAGAATTGCCTTTTGTTGCAGCCACAGAATTGCCCTTTTTATCCTCCTCCTTTCCGTGTGTCCACAAGGTTTTTTGTTATTTGCTAAATAATTCGTTGTGGGAAACTTCTTAAAATACCCTGTTAAACCCATCACAAAATATTAAATACTACGTTTCCCTCTCACCTATGATCATGGACGTGGTACCAGAACTTCACTAATTCTAACGTAGTGGAAAAGCCAAGTCTTTTCATAGTTCTGTTCTGTTTCAAGTCCAGCAAAAAAGGCAGTCAGAATACAAACTTATATGCAAAACACTGAAATGTTTGGCGCTTTTCAGATGTGCTGCAGTTCCTCAACTTCAATATATAGTATCAGGGTGAAGTATATAGCCACCTAACCTATATAGTTGAGTAAACAACCACCTACCTGTACAAATGCAAAAACACTTCAGAAATTTGCCTTGAAATTAACATCACCATACAACTGTCTCCTCCCTTTTCCTCCTGAGCAGCCTTAAAATAGTCTACAATAGATACTTGTATCACCTTATTTTCATCTAAATTAGAATTTGCCGTATGTTTATTTTGGATCAGTCATCAGTTTTTTTTCATTATCCAGTTAAATGTAGGTATCCATAGGATAATGCACCTAAAATTTTGCTGAGTACAGGAGACCTGGTGTGCTATTCAAAGCAGGAACGGTTGGTGTTGAGTTTGCTGGATGAAGGAAAGTGGATGTAGTATTCAGGGCATGTATAGCCATATTGGTTTTGCCCCATAATACGAGACAAAAAATAAAGATTACATTTGTAGTCTGAAGATTTTTAAAAACTAAGAAATAGTTCCTTTTCCTGTCTTCTTTTAAAGACCTTTGGATACAATTACTGCTCTGTGATACGTTATGCCTTTGATAACTTTTTGAAGATTCATATAAAAAATATTTTTATTCTCAATCGCTTTAGAAGTGGAATGTTCCACACAGCACTGTACCTGATGTTTGTCTTTCTGACATTGTGTTTGCGTATGACAGTCTTAAGTACCTATACACAAATGGAAAAACCTTCAGAGTAACTTTAGACTGCAGTGTTAAGCCTTTGCGGTATGACTGCTGGTATTCACTAATGCGTCATGGCAGCAGTAGGTGTAGTTACCAGTAATGTAATAGAAATAGATTTTTTATGTACTTAAAGTGACAATTAGACAGAAGGAAGTGTTAAAATGTGCAAAAAAATAGGGAAAATGCAAAAATAAAGTTTTGGTTTCTGTATTGGTTTACCAGTTAGTGCATAACATCTGAATGTAAAATTTGACGATTTTAATTTAGGTCTATTTTTCCTAAGAAATACAGATAAAATAGGTGCTCTAGAAGACAGATACACCCTGTCTTTACTCAAAAGAAATTAATTGCCTTTCCTTGAAGAAATGTTGTTTTGGCTTTGTTTGTTACTCAAACATCGTTTCCTGTCAAAATGGATAACGTTTTACAGAGTAAACTAGAATCAGGAAACTGGGTGGTTTTTTCAGAATGGAATTCCTTTCGCATCAGTCATAGGAGCTGATATTTTTTTGCCTTCCTTGTCCCTGGTTCACTCACACACAGACGAACGCATTTGATCCTTCTCCTACCTTGGCTGAAGCCTTTTATTCAACAGAGGGATTTTGATATGCTCCCTGAGCGGCATTACAGTGTTAACAACACATGAGCATATTGTAATCCTCCAGTCTTTTATCCTGAAATACTTTGACCTTAACTGTTCTATATCAAATGATGTATTTTAAACTTTAAGAAGCAGTTTAGCCAAAGTCCTTGACTGAACTGAATTTTTCTGATAGAGAAGGTAATGTACTGGCAGTTTTTATAAAAATCCAATTGTGATTTACTCTAGTCTTTTTTGATAGTATGCTTCTATCCATTTTCAGTCTTAAGGCCCATCAATGTAGAAGACCTTTTTTCACTTGGGGAATCAAAATATTCTGTTAGCTGGGCTCAGTTTTACCCTTGGTGAAAGTATGAACTAATATGTGCTTTTTCATTCCATATATACTGAAATTTTTAGCTCCAGAGCTGCTTCAGCATGCCATTCAGCTCATGAATTTGTCCAAGTTACAATTTTCTTAATAAAGAAAACTGTCAAATGTTATAAACAAGGAGTAGTCTCAATCCACCAAATGAAATCTGAAAGTGAGAGATCCTTTGCAATTATTTAGGCCGAAGGGAGCTTTGTGGCAAATGCAAATTAAACCAAGCTTTTCTGGGATAGTGTGAAGCTATTCTCAGTTGCGTCCCAATTACATTTTATTTGAGGCTTTTCCCCATAGAAAATAGTAGGTTTTTTTCCTTGAAATATCTGTAAGTTATAAAACCTTGTTTATCATAGTGCTTGGAAGTTTTTAAATGGAAAAACATGTTTAGCATCTGAAATCTCTTGAGAAGAAATCAGAGCTTTTTATTGAAGCTTGTTAGTCTCTTTCTGTGTTTGAAAGTTCAATAATTTTGAAAAGAACAAAATAAATTTGAGTTTTTCTGGATTTTTTTTTTTTCCTTAAGTGAGCAGTACCAGTAAGAAGGGAGTTCTTGTGTCATGAAATTGCTTGGTCTTTTTCCCCTAGGTTTTCAAGAAATGTTTGAGAGGCGGGAATGTAATTAAAAACTTATTCTCCCTTTGGCTGCATTTTTAATTTTGAATTCAAACCCTCACACAGTATAATAGAGCTTTGCTTTAGGGTGTTTTATACCTCTATCAAAGTGACTAAAGTAATTAGTATTTTATACATTTTGGTAAGTATTTTGTCACTGGAAGCACCAGTGCAGGTGAATGATAATGGTTTGAAGCTCAGGCAGTGACGGGACCCTAAATGAGAATGTCACCTTTTAATCAAGAGCACTTGGAGTCTATGGTATTGAAATGCCCTACAGAGAACATAGAAAAGCCATCCATCACTTTGTGACAGTCCAATCTTTTAGTGCATGAGTAAAATTTTATTTAGCCTTTCTAAGGCAGTTGGAATGTAAGATGTTTTAACTTACCTCAAAACAGCAGCGTAAAAGTTCAAAAGCATAATGTACAGATTGCTTTCTGGGCAGCATACGTGTCTTTATGTATTATCTTTATTTCTTTAGATTGCAATTGACACATTTTCTGTGTCCTGCTTCAAACACCTCCTCCCTCCCTCTTATCCAACCAACAGGCAAGATTATTTCTAAATTTTAGTCATATGTTTGGAGTTAATTTGCATAGTTGATTAACTCCTGATGCTCAGCGGAAATACTCAGCAAGTTAGAGGAAAAGTACTGCTGCTTTAGGAAGGGCAGATTTTTTAAGTCTCACGCAAAAGTAGTTTTACACATGATTTAGAAGTCCTCTGGGAAAAGCTTAGAAGAAGCTGAAGTACTATTAGTGACATGTACTTGGAATTATAAACTATTATTATAATAATTCAACAATCTAATTTCAAGCTTTGTGTTGTTACGTGTTTTTTTAACAACCCTCAGCTTTCTTTATTAGCGAAAGCAGCAGCAGCATCTGAGGACAATGTCATAATTTAAACAAAAATACTTTTGTTCTCAGGCATTTGGGAGATTTACTTTTGATGTCAATGGAAGCAGAAACCTGTACCAGGAACTTTGCCATTTAAGATGAGTTGGCAATGATGAAACCTGTTGACTTAAATGGATTTACTCCCAATTCACACTGGATGCATGATTCTCTTGCCCACCCTACTAGCTGCTTGAAATCGAGGACATTGATCTGCACTGTACTTAATACCTGTTTTCAGCTAGCTACTACTCAGGGGTTTTTTGTTTAGTGAGTCTAGTTTTTCAGTACCCTGTGGAACAAAATTTGCTGTGAATATGCAAGATTAGGGTATTTTCCTTCCGGGCATTTGAATGTTTTCAAGCTGAAATCTTTTTTGTCCTACCGCAAAATAAGGTAGGACCTTTTGTGAAGGGAGAACGTTCCTAAAATGCTACGATGTACTACAGTGCTGAAAGAGAAAAGGAAATTGTATTTGGCTTCATTTAGTGAGTGAAAAGGAAGAGGGAAAAAGTTTTTCCTGCTAAATCCAAGAACCAGTAAAATGCAACCAGATGGTTAAGACATGTTTGTACATGTTACTGAATAAATCTTTCCAACAAACCTTTCTGTCAGATATGGAGAGAGTTAATCTTGTTCAAGAGTGCTGTTTCTTCAGTCTCACATTGTTATTGAGTCTTCAGTGAGTTTGCTCTCAGAAATACACTATGCTAATAATGTTGGTGATGAGAAATTTTTTAGCTATCATTTAAACTTCAGCTTAAGCATATCTAATTCTGACACCTTTGTCTCTGAATTGTTCCCAGCAATGTAGAGCTGTGTTTTTGTCCGCCAGAGTGTACGTGTTCAAGTTTTAATGGCCCCTGTCATGTCATCATGCAAAGTTAAATGAATTAAATATTCGGAATGTGCAAGAGCCTGTACCAGGCTTGTTATACAGTGAGAACTAATATATTAGTCAAACAGCTTAATATATGTTGCAGTATGAGCAGTATTAGCTGGGACTCTGTTAAATAGCTGACATTCAAAGTCTACTCCCGGTTTTGAAAAGTCTGCTTGTATCATCACTGCTGTCATCTAGAGACATTTGTGCTCTGTTTCCACATGGCATTCTCACTCACTGTAATTGGCTGCTAGTGAAAATACAGGTATTATCCATCTATTTTATAAATTACCATTTTCTTCCCTGGCTGCATGCCACAGCTTCGTCAGGCTGTCACAGAACTTAAACACAGCTAAAAGCTGAGTAAGTTGCTACAAGTTGGATATTACTGCTTTAGAAGTAACCTACAACAGGAATAATTAGACATATACCATTATTGAGGCTGAATTAAAACACCTGTGCCAATGAAATTAAGAATGTCATTGTGGTATTATTGTGATTATGAAAATCAGCTGCCCAAACTAAGTAAAAGTAATAAACTATTTATTGAGCTTCACATACAAAGGTTGGACACAAGTGGATTCCTCAGCAAGCCAAATTGGGTGTTTGGGGCAAAGTTATCACCAAGTGTGAGGGCTTGATTTAGAACCAGATCCCTCTTATTACTTTGTTTTCAATAGTGGTCCACAACCCCCTAGTAATAATCACTTTAAGAGAAAGCCAGGGTATCAGAAGTACTGAATGCAGACGCAAAAGCAAACCAAAAAACTACAGATGTAATCACCCTCATCTACAATTGCTCTATTCAATGTTGTGTTAAAATTGACTAACTAATGGATGATTTGCAGAAAACAAAACAGAGAAAATCAGTGTTTACAATATTGTTTTTGTTCTTTTAAACTAATAACTTCCTTTTCAGTTCTTATGGAATTTATTTGTGCATTTAAATTTTTCTTTACCAGTGTACTGTTCAGTTTACCTTCTATTTTTAAATTATATTTTACCATGTAAAACTGTAAAATCTGACAAAAATGGCCAGATTGTATTGTACCCTCAGTGATGTGCAAATCCATTTTTTTCTAAGCCATGACATGCACGTTATGCACTGATAGGATGCCAGAAATGCACAAATTTATATCTTAACTTTTAGGTTTCATATTTTTTATGTTCCCTATACTTAATATAAAACCCTATCAGTCTAAAATAATGAAAAAATATTATAAAATATAATCCAAAAAGTCAATAGATAAGAAATGATACTTCGGCATAAATCAGTTATTCCGTTATGCAGTTTTAATCCTTGCTGGGGGGGGAGGGGGAATATGATTCAGAAAAGCATGTTCATAATAAGCTAATTTCACCTAGTATTTAGTCCCATCACAGACACCCATCCCAAACCCCACGATGCTGATTCCACCTAGAAATAGCCAAAACAAAGAATTCAGTTTCCATGGTCTACAAGTTTTGCTTGTCCTCTCCCTAAATAAAACCAGACAGATGGAGCAATCTTTGGAAATCATGTGAAAACCAATACATCTGCGGTAGGGAATTTGGAACAGAATATATTGAAAAAATTAATAGATCTACCAAAACCTAAGATTGAAAGTAGTATGTGAATAGGCAGCCTCCCAATGTGTGTTTTCTCCCAGTACAGACAGCGTATACAGTAGGGTCCAAACGAGGCTCATTCCTGGGGTTTGGCTTTATTCAAAAGAAACCAGTGTTAAGGTAGGAAAGCTTAGCTCAGGTCTCTTCCCCAGACTTGGCTGCTCTTACAACAAACCTCTTAGGACTCCCGAGTGTTTGCTGCAGGTCTTTGCTGTCTCTCAATTTTGTGCTCTCCTGACCAAGTGAAGTTCACAGCCAGCTTCCTCACTCAGCTGTCACCCTGTCCCAGAACATAACGGGGAGGACAATGTCCCGCCTAGCTGGGATGCACTGAATACTTGATAGATGGTCTTGTGAGAAGAAATGCAAAAAAGAAGCAGCACCCCTCACTATTACTGCCATCTATCCCAGGAGGAATAGAGGTTGCCAACCTGTCAACACTGTGGTTGTAGTTAAAATTCAGCTAAAGCACATAAGCACAACTTTATAGCGGGAATAAAATTGCACAAGTGGTCCTATAAGAAGCCTTTGACCCACTGTCTACAACTTCTAAAACATGCCATTCCAGCCAAGGCTCTATGCCTGAGGAGGAGGAGGAGGGAGAGGCAGGTAACATGAGAAGTGGTGGCAGCACGGACTTCTGTGGAGGTTAACAGCCAGGGCAGGAGCTGATGGGAAAGGATGAAGATGGTTACTGATGGCTTAGCTGCAGTCTTTACTCAGTGTTTTTATTGTTATTTGAGGTGAAACTAGCATAAGCATGTTCAGCTGCACTGAAATCACACCTTCATTTGCCAGTGAAGAGGTACCCTGTAAATGTAAAGCCACTCCAACAGCCTATGGAGGAATACAGGCTGCTTAGTGACTATTGTAGCACCAATTCCCTGTAGCCCTAGTTACATAAACCGCTGTTTAAAAGACACAATTTAGTTATAAAGTGCACATTAAAAGCTGCTTCACTGTCTCTCTCCTTGAAGTGTATATTGAGCTCCCTATAAAGGATGTTTACACTACAAGATTGGTTAAAAAGAGGCTTTAAAGAAGATATAGAGAGTTTCAGCCCAGGGTCACACTTTCTTTCTAACCCTCTTGGAAAGCATTTGGGATTATCCTAGGGTGCTGGGGGTGAGGGAGTTAGCTAAGGTACTGGCTGGGTAGAGAAAATGTGCTGGGGGCTGGTTGTGACTGTGTCAGGAAGGGGAAGTTGCCCCACACGTGACTGGGGGTTGCGGCACACATTGAGCAGTACATGTTCCCTGGTGACAGGCGCTTCCTCCCTGTGCTCATGAGACTGCCATCGCTTCTAGGACTACAAAGGGGATTTGAATTCGTTCCTGTTTGTTTGCCCCAGCACATGACAGTGAAGAATGAACTATCTTCCAAACTAAACGACCAAGCAAACAAGCACATTTGAGAGAGATTTGTTCAACTAATGTTAAAAGTGAAAGATTACTGTACAGTAATTGTTCACTGAGGAATCTTCTTTTGGGCTGTAAATAAGATTTTGTATTATCACTGTATTGTTCACTTTCAGGAAGCATGGGTTTTGCAGTACAAAGTTAGATCCATATTGGTTAAAATTCATTTGACATCTCATTAAAAAAACTTTCAAAAAACAAACGTGAAAGATTACATGATGTTTCCTATGCCTTAAATCCTGTCATTTTAAAATATAGGCTGGACAGAGTTGTTGATTGTTGAGACACTTTGAGTTTGTGGCTGAAAAACTGCTGAGGATATCAGCTGAGACTTTTGCAGGCTGCACGGAAAGAGCATTTCAAAGATTTGTACTTGCCAGAGTTCACTCCTCTGTGCAGTAGCACATTATTCTGGAAGCAGTGCTTCTACTCAACTCTTTGATGTTTTTCCAGAAAGAAAAGCACATTATCTGAGTATCTCTCTTCCATAGTGCTACTACTGCTGCTGAAAATCGGGGTTCTCACACAAGCAGTTCTGAGTGAGGGACCTGGCATGCCTTCCCCGTATGTCTTTATCTCAGTTCCCAGCATTTAACTGGGATCATAATACTCAGTCTGTTTGCTTCCCAGTCTACCACAGGGCTCTGAAATCACGGTATCGATTGCATACCAGTATGTATGCAAGCTGCTTTATATTCCTGCACACCAGCCTGCACCCTTTGCCTTGGAGATGAAAACCACTGCTCTCAAATTGTCTGTGACAGATCCAGAAGCTCCTGCTGGCGTTATGTCTCAGTGGGCCTGGAGGATGGCTTGGGTGTGCCCATGGCTCAGAAAAGCAGCAGCAGCTGCTGCTCCAGATCCTGCTGCCTCTGTCACTGTGCAAGGGATACCGGCACAAACAAAATTAATATCTGGCCTGTAACATGAGTTATCCTGACTCTTAGCAGCACTAATACCTGAAATCCCCTAGGGGTTGGTCCGGAAAAGAAACGACGTGTAGAATTTACATTCAGGAATTGTCCTGCCAAGAACAGTTCCTTACTTTCCTTCCCAATGTGCCAGCAAGATTAGCACTGAATCCATACAGAAAAACCCACTGAAGACAGTGAGTGTAATATGTAAATGGACCCAGCTGCAGAAATTAAGGTCTATATGTATAAGGAAGCTTCTTTCCCTTTATTGATAAACCATTTTTATTTGCTCCGTCTCAAAATACTAGATACTGTTTTGAGATATTGTTGAAATGCTACTCAAAACCTGTTTCATAAACAACAGAATACTTAGGAGAAGATCACTGAAGGAGCAAAAGTGGTAAAGTAATTAAAAAAACCTGTAGGATAGGATTTAAAACTGACCAAATGATACCAAATAAAAGGCGAGAATGCTTTGAAGAATGAGTGCTGATTCCTCCACTTACAGAATTTATACTTATAATGAGCAGTATCAGAGATAGTTTATTCATCAAAAATAATCTTGTCTTTCTCAAGATTGACTTTCATGTTTGCTGCTGAAGTCCGAAGCGCTAGAAGTGTGCATGTGCAAGAAGAAACCCAGCAACTCATTGTATAAAGCCACTTTACTCAGGATTGTAGAAGATACTATTTTCTCTGCTCAGGGTCACATAATGCGTATGTTTCTAAACATCCATCTGCATTTCTTCTGTTTCTGTGACAGTCACTGCCTCTTTATGTTGTCCTCAGCAAGCGAAGAATCAAGTTGAAGCTACAGACTTCAGTGCTGCTTCCACTGATGTTATTTGGCAGTATCCCCTGTACTATGAGCTTACAGAGGACTGACTGTGGTTTTGAAAATAGATCATCTCTATTCATATATTTTAATAAGACACTAGAAACACGACTACTTTACTTGAATGCTTCCTTATACCATACTTTGAATATTTAAGACCTCTCTTTGCTATGTTAGAAACAGGCACTGTTGAATAACTGATGTATTTCCCCAAAGAGTTCAATTTGCCCAGTTCCTAATCCTGTAATTATTTATGCATGTAGTTAAGAATACAAACACTTCCCTTGTAATCACGTGAAGAAGCATGTGCCTTTGCTATATAGTCTCCGTTTCTAGAGGTACTCCCATTAATTCACTAATAATAATGATCCTTTTTTCTCCTACTTAAAAGAGTATTGTATCAACACAGAAGGTTTTGCAGTGCAGGTTTTCACAGGAAACCATTTTTCTGTTCTAAGTATTATCTGTCTGAAGGTAAAGAAACATTCTAACCACCAGTTCAGTAAATATTGATTTAGCTTTTAGCCGAGCTTTTTGTTCTTCAAGAAAAAAGAATCAAGGTATGAAATCCTATTGATTGAACTGCCAAACTCAATGGCAAAATTCTCATTGGCTTCAGTATGGATCAGAATTTCACAAGGAACATTTATGTTTGTAGCATGGGCTAGTTCTGGTAGCGTGGAGACTTACAGGGTGCTCACAAAATAAAAAAACAACATAGACTCAGCCGTGCAGAACTGTCAGAAATTGCTTAGACTGCCACACAACTTTTTTAGCTTTCCAATCACACACACACCTTCTCCAACTGCTTTTCCTGCTAAATAAATAAACTGTAGAGAAAAGCCTAGAAAACAGAAACTAGTACCAATGTAGATTTTGTGAGGCTAGTATATAAAAATAATATATATAATAAAATCTTTTTTCCCCTCAGTCCTCAGGCATGATTGAAGCCAAATACGGAGAATAAACTGATTAATCAATTATTCTTTAGAACCTTAACAAAAACTTGTTATAAATTTTATATATTCCTGTTAATGCTCTAATACCAAACATTCTGAAATAAATCCAATGTACATTTCTGCTGTTTCTGGTTTCACATGCTGTCTTGTACTTTATAGAGATGGCTTTCATTAATACTGAACTAAACCTGATGCCGTTTTTACTCAGTAGTCTTTGGCCACTCCATTCCCCTCTTCCCCTTTATGTGTCCATTCTAAATTGCTTGACAAATATTCTCTTTCATGCTTCTTCTTTAAAGAGACAGAAAGGCTATAAAGGCAACAGGTACGTAATGCAGCAGACAGCTCGGTCTCCAGTTAAACTTGCTCTGAGTAACAAACAGTAAGACTGTATTTTTTTTTTTCAGAGTGTAGGTGGAGAGGCCATGAATGAAAACAAATTTCTGAACACAGACTCCAGCACAGGATCAGTGGAAACAGCCGTCAAGCCATTACCGTTTAAAGATCCAAACTTCATTGTAAGTATATTTTAATTTGAAATACTAAACTCTTCAAATAAAACATTAACTAGGATTCTATTTAACCATATTGCTAATGTAAATATTAAGAAAGTCAGCTTAACAGCCAAATAAAAGGTCGGCAATTTTTAAGAAATTCACCTCAAGTCCATGCCACTCTACGATTCAAAGCACACGCTATATTATAGCATGAAAATGGCACTGGTCCAGATGCAGAACTATTATATTAAGTTCTGGAACAGAGTCAGAAAACCTGCTAGATCAAGGTAAGTGCAGAATTTTTATGGTGTGGTATCTCACAAACTACCACAGCTAGAGCAGAGTAATTTATACCACTGTGAACGTAGGAATCCCATCTCCCTCTTCCCAGCCAAGGCAAGCTGCAAAACAATTGAGCTAGAAATCATCCAGAGAGTCATTAGCAACTGGCATTTAGCTCCTCTCCCGGTCCCTGAAACTGTAACAGACCTGTGGTGACTGTTCTTCCAGTAATTGCTAGATTTAGAAGCAAAAGCTCCATGTTCCCCAGAAGTCTAGCCTGCCGGTGCTCAGAAGTCATGTAAACTCTGACAGCTGGCGAAATACAGGCTGCTAAAACACTATGAGGTTTAAACTGGGGCAGAAGGTGAAGGAAGACTACAGCTAGTAATGCTGTCACTGCTGGTTTTGTTTTTAATATCTTTTTATCTTGCTGTGCCAGGGCCAGCTCATTGGCACACTGTGCAAATGATTCCTAGACAAGCAAACTTCTCAGACTGCTGGTCCTAAGCCAGTACTTAGAAAGAAGGATTTTATCCCAGATTTCATTCTGTATGAGTAAGATACAATATCCCACAGCAAAAAACCTTAGTAATCGGGTGTCACACAGCTCACTAAGCACAGGTTTGGCAAGCGCTATAAAATTAATCTCTGACTTGCAAGTTGCTCTGTGTCTGCTTTGCAGACGACTTCTGTCATGAGAGGGGCATTCAAATGACTGTATACTTTGCTCACTCTAATCCTCCAGTGTGCACCAGTGTCTTTGAGAAATGGGGCTTATTTGTGCCCAGAGGCATTCCATGTAGCTTCTGTATAGGATTTAAATAGTCATGAGGTCTTGCGCTGATCCTTCAGTTCTTAGAGGGATGTCATGATTTCTAAAGAGGCAATACTAATGCCTGCATGCTGGAAATAAGAATGAATGCACTGGGCCTTTGGCAACTGCTGCAGAAATAATAGGCAGTTATAATAAAAACATGAAAATGTCCTCCCCAATACAGTAACTAATTTGAGAAGAAATGTATCAAGTTTTAACTAGCTTTTTTGTCAGTATGAACTGGTAATAACACTTTGGATGACTTTTTGCATCCTTCCAGCCTAATTTGCCTTAAAAGGAGTAAAATAAATCAAATAATGTCTGTCTCATAAATACGCCCAAGTTTGAACCAGTAGCTCACTGCAGAGGATAGACTTAAAAGCAGAGAAGAAGGAAGAAATTACCTTCTTCTAAACTTCCTGAATGGAATTTGCATCCCTTGGCAATGGTGAAGGGGAAGAAGACCTTCTGACAATTGTGTAGAGCAATGAATAGCTCCCTCTGTCCTAGCTGCAGCTTTCTCTGAACTTCACTAGTGCAGAGGTAGCTTGGTTCATTTGCGCTTGGCAGTCATTGCCTTTTGATTGTAGGTGTGTGAGGCGATACTCAGCCCCATTCCTAGGAGGCATAAGTTCATATAAACCCCAATAGTAGCTTTTGAGAAACCAGATTACTGAAAAAAAGATCATTATGTAATGATTTGGGGGAAAATTCATGTAATGAATTTGAATTAGTAATGGGGTAGTATGTCTATTTTCATCTCATATTCCAGCAGTCTCTATTTTACAATGATCTCTAGATTACTAAGGTGTTGCTCTCAGAGCAGACATTTGCATGTACTTTCTATATTGGATATCCAGTGCCGAAACCTGATTTATTGCCAGCTCATGAGCATCTTTTCTGAATATATCTTACATCTACAAAAAAAAGCTTTCTCATTGAATCCTTCCTCCTATCATTCTCAGCAATTTAATGGGATAATTTATAAGCAAATCACAGCAGAAATGTGTTTACAGAAAGAACTTTGCTTAGTTTTGATGAGACTGATGTGGCAGGTAGTAATTATTAACAGAAATAACAAGAACTCCCCAATTGTAAGAACATTTACTTTTCTGAAGTAAACCTGTAAATCTGTGTCCTTTGATCATTTAAAAGCAGTACAGTATTTTGTGCAGCTTCTGTCTCTGGAGGGACATAAATAAATTACTCTGTAGCAATCACATTTGATAACTGAAACTACCATTATAGTACCGATGGCAAGCCTTCCATTAGTGTACCTTTCAAAATGCAAATTTGTCTTGGCAGCCAACATTCTATTTATTACTGTTTTTCTATTCTTCTGTCTTCTATCCTTTGAAAGAAAAATAAAATTTCCAGAAAGTTTCTCATAGTATTCATTATATTTTGCAAGATCAGTTGTGTTTTCTACAGTCACGGATAATTTGTAAAAGAGCTAGAGCTGCACCTGTAATACGCCATAAAAAAAGAGAGAGAAAATTTAGCCGTGTAATCACAATTTTAGACACAACTTCATAGTAATAAGTTCTAATACGATGGGAAGTACATACAGAATCCTGTAATCTCAGGCTAAACCTAACCACATTGATTTTCTATTTCCATGTAAAAAGCAGATTTTCATTTCCTTCAGTTAATCCTAAACATAGTAGCTTTGACACAGTCCAAAAAGCTTTGTTTTTCTTGCAGCCAAGATTAAAGTGTACTGTATATTAGCCTGCTGATGAAATAAGTGAGGATAACAAATGGTTCATGACAAGATGAGACGTATCAGAAAGACTATGAAATAGAAGTGTCACACTCTGAAATAGTATTCTTTATTTATTTTTTCTCTAAATACCATATTTTTAATTCTAGCACTCCGGCATTGGTGGAGCAGCAGCTGGCAAGAAGAACAGAACTTGGAAGAACCTAAAACAAATTCTTGCTTCCGAAAGGGCATTGCCATGGCAACTAAATGATCCTAGCTGTAAGCTGCTTAGACGCTTTGCATGTATTTATAAATAATAAAATCCACACAAATAACTTTCTTTAAAACAAACCTAAATTGTTTCCTCAGTGCATACAGCATCCTGCTTGAACAGGGTCCAGCAGTACATTTAAGACTAGTCCAATCACACTCGCCGGCTCTAAGTGGAAAGTAGGTGGATGCAAATAATTTGGAGTATTGTGACAAAGTTCAAATACATTTAGGGAGAGAAGTTAATAAAGGAAATGTATTTATTCAAACCAGGTCAGGAACTCCGTATTCCCATCAGGTGTTTTTCACCTCTTCACTGCTGAGGAGCCGCCTCCTTTGCATACAGCCCAAATGTTTTCTGATGGGTGGCTGCTGCTTGGTTAGTTATATTTGAACTGTTTTCATATAGATTCTGCTAAGCCACATACCTGCAGTAGCTTAGAACTCAGCCCAAGCTTCCTATCCAGCTCCTTATCCTAGACTCTTGGGAGATTTAAGTCCTCCATCCCCTATTTAGTTCAGCACAGCTGAAACTACACTATTAGCAGTCCTGATTAGCAGTCCTAGCTGGTGTGCATCTACAGGAGCAGAGTTACAGCAGTGGTCTTAATCTAGATATACTTTACATCTGCTCATAGACTAGGATGCTATTGAACGTAGCTGGAGGCAGAATGTGATCCTCAGATTTCACTTAAGCAAGTGGAGGCATTTCAGAATTGCGCATATGCATATACTTTTTGTCAGACTTGGTACTTTATCCAAAAATAGCTTGCCATTTTTTGAAGTGTTTTAGATGCAACTGTTACAGAAAAATGCAGACTACTGTGTGTTCCTGGCTATTGTAACTGACAGTCTGCTGATGTTGCTATTTCTATTATGTTCTGTTTGCAACAGTAAATTTACAGGATTTTTTTTAAGAAGGTGGGAAAATCAGTTGCATATTTAAAACCAGCTGTCTGTGGCATTAGTGTCTTTTGAATTATGAGATGATGAGTTAGAAATTTAATATGGATGGAGCATTTGAATTGATCATAGCATCTGAATGAGGTGCAAAGGAGCTCAGGAAGGAGGAAAGAAATGAGTCAGGTACAAGATATTTCTTGTAAACATCCAAAATTGTGGATTAACTACTTAAATATGCCAACTGTATCTTAAAAATGTTTATGACTGAGAGTTACTATCTAAAGGCCACCAAAGAACAGCAATTTCCATCATTTAATTTAAACATTCAGACAATTTTCTAGGTCATTGACAGGGCTTAAAGTGGTACACGCTTAAAGATTTAACTGATTTAAAAGATTACTTTGCTTTTCTGGATTATAGTATTTCAGAGCTGCAATCTTGAGCAATGTTTTGTGGTCTTAACATATAGCATGTGTATGATAATGGCTATTCTTTCCAAATAACTTACGGTAAGGGAATTCATTAAGGCTTGGAAGAAATCAAAACATTTCCACTAGCTCTCGCATTTTTCCTTTTGGGGAGGACAGTTCTGCTTCCTAAACTGGTTTTAGGGAGGTGAGCAGAATCAGGCTGTTGTTTACAGTGCTAACAGGCTAAATGTTTTCAGAGGTAATTCTGCTTCATGTTTCTTAGCCTTAGTGGTGCTAGTTAATAGAGACCTCAGAAAGTAAAGGCAGCGTTTTAAAGAAGTATTGTTACCTATTTACATTTTGGGTTTATGTTTTAAAAGATATATAGCACACTGGATTTATCCCTTTGTTTCTCTCTAGATTTTAATATTGATGCTCCTCCTTCCTTTAAGCCTGCCAAGAAATATTCTGACATTTCAGGACTTCCAGTAAGTATTTAATTTTTCTCTTCAAAATTGACATCTCACTTTCCACAGTGAAATAATGCTGGAGCGTGCTTTTGTACAAGACGTACGTGTTGAGGTTCCTATTCAGCCTTGTGCTTAATAGTTGTCCAGTGATCTAGGGCCAAATACTGTTGCTACATCACAAAATCCTTAGGTTGTTAATAGATGTCAGGACAGATTAAATACCTTGTCCTGCCAGGTGGCTCCTATCATACCATTTTCCCAGCTGTAGAGTCTGCATTGGTCCCCATCATTTCTGATTCTTAGATTGTTACAGTGAAAACTGGTAGCCCACAGTCCCCACCACTGTTAATTTTGCCAAGCTTTAACCACACAGACTGAAACTTTCCATGCTGAGTGTTTGCCTGAGGCTGATTTATTTCATTCTATCTTTTACAGAAAGTTTCAAAAAGATGGCTCAGCAATTTCCAAGAATGAGATTAGGCAAAATTATATTGATTGGCCCAGGTTAAAAAAACCAACTTGTTATCGTTGCTCTCAAACTTTCCCTCAAACAAATCAACCTGAGACAGACACTTGGCATGGACTTTTGAGAATTTCAAATACCCCCATGCTTCAGAGCTCAAACTTGGAGTTTGGCAGATGTATAGCCTGTGTGTCACAGATGGGCTATTTTACACGGTTTTGTTAAAGAAAATAGAAAAAGAAAAGGAAAAGAAACCCAACCACATTTGCACATGCTCCAAAAAGTCTCAGTAGTTACAATTTGGCACCTGAATTCCCCAAAGATTCTCTTGGCACAAAACAGGAGTAAAGTCATTGAATTCTGCCCAACAAAAATTTTGTATCTGCTGCTGACACTGTTCCTATGTGACATGAATAATTTTACTTAAAACAAAACCGGTGTTAGTAACAGCATATCTTTTCACCTTCAGCCCCCAGTGATTTATTTTGCAGAAGCTTATGCACTTAGTACAATTGAAATGAATGGAAATGTTGTATTTTGGACTATAAATAGGGTTAAGTAATGGTTACACTAAGTAACTACAATATTGAAAACTTTTTAATGTTAAAGAGCCTTAGACAGAATTTCTGGGTCCCTTCCCCCACTTTAATCTGTTTCTCATCCATAGGGCACAAGCAGACCTCACAGGATTGATATCACCTCATAGAGATGCCTGTCAATATACACATTTGTTGTGTTGATGCAGGTTAGCACAGCACCTTGCATTCTGTACACTGAATTAGGTTAAAGTCCCCACTGGGAAAAAAAAAAAAGGGTGAGCACTTAATTAAGGACTGCCTTATAGTGGATACGCAGTGCAAAGCATCGAAGAATGGCTATAGCACCAACTGTAATCCTGCACATCCTAACATCCCAGTTCTTGATTTGGTAGCATATGTTTTCTTTGACTTTTTTACTTTTCAAGTAACACATTTAAACAAGGCACCAAGGAGGTGGCATGTTTCCAGACTGTGCCTTTGAGCATGATTTGGAAATGGAGTGGGTTGCTCAGATGGAGGCTGGTAACCCTTGGTGTTGAAGAGGGAATGGGAAAGCAACATGTTCCTCACAGATGAACTAACAGACAGCAAATTGAAAAGACTGCTCATGAACCCAAGGAAAATAATTCCCTCCAGCCAGGCAGACTTAAAGCCTTGCAAGAGTATTGCTTTGATATAATAGCAACTTGTTTTCAGACAAGCAGAGGGGTCAGCTGAATAAAGAACTTTGCATAAGTACACCTACTTTACATAAAGATGCAGTGGATGGAGGAAGCGGGGATAGATGGACATGCAAAATAATAATGAGTACATTTCACCAAAGTAGCAAAAATTCTACACTGGGTCACCTAATGGTGTTTGTCTGTTTCCTATCATCTCCCCTTAGAGCTGCTTTGCAAGTGTTAGTAGCATTCACACCAGGTGTGATTGGAGTTGCTGCAACATCTCTGACCTGTGAGGGGTTTATATGGGGCAGAAAGCCTAAGGGCATAAATCCCTTTCACTGCCCCATCGCCATGGAACCAAATAATGCTTTCCAGCACTGTTTTTTGATGCATTTCAAAACTAGTTAGTTGTTTTACCTATAGCAAGATGATGATGTAGGTTATAGATGTGAGTAAAGAACGTGTCTGTACCAGCTAAGGGTCAGTTCAGCCATAGGAAATAAGAGTGTTCCTCTCAGGTCCTCATTTGTTCTTTACCAGCTTGTCCTTTCCATCAATGATTTATGTACTCTACCTATTCTAGCTCAGTATAAATACTCTCCTTTCTATATGAGTCCATTGAGTGCTGCTTCTGTTTCCTTTTTTTGTCTTTCCCCTTTTTTTTTCTTAATTTTCCAACCTCTAATTGCATCGTGAGTCAAGTTTCCTATTTTACCTGGCCTGCAAGGTTTCTCCAGACTATGATAAAAATACCATGTTTAAAAAAATCTTTTTTATTAAGATAACTGAGACAGTGTGTCCTTTAAATTGCTAAGCCAGAAATGTTTCATAAGAAGCACTAAATATATTTTCAAGATCATTTCCTAGTAGGAAGATATGTGGGGTAATAGAATATTTCAGAAATCTAGTATAAGAAAAACGTCCCTGTATTTTCTGTGTAAAATCTGAAAGCATTTGTGTAAGAATATATTTTCTATGGGAATGCTGTATTCCCCATGGAAAAAAAAAAAAGTAAAATATTCCTTAGCGTTACCCATTTAGGGAAGAATTAAATGGTCTAGCAGGTACCAAAAAAGCGTACTGAAGCACTCTCATCAGTATACCTGCAGTTATGTTAAATGCCACAATTAAATTCTACTGATCCTCTTCTCTTTCTGTAACACAAATGGAATTAATTTTACCAATGGTCTAAGCAGAGCAGCAAATTTATATTTGTAAGGCAGCCTAGAATTCAAAAGCTGTTATCTAGTATATTGACACTGCAAAATAAAACTATTATTTCCGAGCTTGCAAGATGAGTATTTAGATATTTTAACATACAAAACAGAGTAATTTATTGTAAAGCAGATTTAATAAAACCCCAAACCTTCAAATGTTTATATTTCTCTTCCATTTCTGAAAATGGATCAGCCTTGTTACTATAGAAACAGATTGAGATAACTAATTTATTGTATTTGAAGAGCACGTATCTGTGACCTTTGACTTAGCTTCTCACTTGACAGAGTTTTTTCTTTGCAAAATCACCTTACTTCACTGTCCTAATCTGTTTTAATTATTGCTGAAGTAGTGGTAAAGTTTGTTTTCAGAATGAAGTCATGGCGTAAATGAGTAGTTACCGTACATTAGTGTGTACAAACAGTACAGCCCAATAGGAAGTAACAGAATGGTGAAGAACTGCCATAATATTTTTAACCTAGATTGGTACGCAACACAAAGTGCAGCTATTGCTTGGCTAGTTTATTACATAATCATGCACATTTGAAAAGCAATCTACTTGGTTAGCTTTTTCTTACATGAAGCCAGATTTAAAGTGTGACATAAAAATAAACTTATACCTGCTGTAAGCATGAAGTTACCACCAGGGATAAATTTACTTCTAATGTCCTAACTTTGCCATTTGTTTGAAAATTAATTGATGACTTGGCTGTTAGCTGCCTACATTTAATTAACCTTGTGGCATTTCTTTGTAAAGAAACAAGCTACAAATAACACCTAATTTTCTGCTAAGTTGTATCAGGCCAGACGATCAACTGGATTGTTACCATGGTCAAAAGATGCTTTCCTAGATAAAAATGGTAGAGGGCTCTGCGCTTCACCAGCATGGATGTGGGGGGTGCTCCAGCTCTCCTGGCCTTTTCTTTTTTTTTAATAGCAATGCCTTAAGGGATCTCAACTGCCTATCCCTTGCAGCCTGCCACCATCTCCTGTTAAAGAAAGGTACAGAAGACACTTTCAGAGCCTTGGTAGGCACTTGGGAATACAATGCTGAGTGGAAGGTGTTTGTTCTGGAGGCTGAAGGTGGAGAGGCGATCCCCTAAAGCCTGCCTTCTTCCAACCCAGCTTCCTGTGCTGCCCCCCAAGCTCACGGTTTCTGTAGCAACAGGGAAGGCAAGGGGATGGAAGGAAATTGGCACTGCTCCCAGGCACCCAGGGTCCAAATATAGCAGAGGATACCAGCGTAGCCCAGGGTTAGCTGGCCAGGCTGCCATCCTGAATGCAGGCGTCTGTAGCAAAGCATAACGCTGAGTTCAAATTTCTTATCAGTTCAGTCACAGAACCATAAGCTGAGACTCCTTTGCTTTAACAAGCACTTTAAAGTAAATTAAAAGCTAAGTTGTATGCAGGAAGAGAAAATCAGCCCAAAGCTATCAGAGCACCCATAATTCAGCCTCTTTGTGGGTAATTTATTGGCAGCAGCCTGACTCTTTGGAGAGCTGCCTCGTGAGAGACTACACAAGGCACAGAGTTGCTAGGGTGAGTTTAGAGAGTTGAGGAATTTCTTTTGCACTGTGTTTTGTGTGAAACTATTTCAGCCCTCTGTTATGTTTAATGCATTTCTAATGTGATTTTATAGGGGTCTGTTAACTTCTCATAAGTTCTGACATGAGGAGAAAGAAAAAAAGTACCAACTTTTGGTCACGTGGAGAACAGCAGTGCTGTTACTGGGAAAAGAAACTTGCTATTTTGTGGTCTTGTAATGAGATACTTCTTTTCTGTATTCTGTCTTGAGATGTTCTTTGAATAGTGTCTTTGCCATTGTCTCTTTTTCAGGCAAATTACACAGATCCCCAGAGCAAGCTGAGATTTAGTACTATTGAAGAATTTGCCTATATTCGGATGCTGCCTTCAGACGTGGTTACAGGATACCTGGCTCTAAGGAAAGCAACAAGTATTGTTTCCTGAAGGGACCAAATATTGCTGCATGTCATTTGTGAACAGTGCTAATTCTGAGAATCGTTGTGGAAACTGACTGTAAGACTGAGGTTCCTTAAAACTATCCACAGATATTTACATCTGGAAGTAGTTGATGATACATGGATTTGAAGAACATATGGATTTAATTTCGATAAATGCTGATATTTGTTAGTTTGCCAATTTGTAAGCAATTTGGTTTGCTGAACAGAATAACTTAGACCTTAAGGATACATATCTGCACCATAATGTCTAAGTTATGTTAATTTCTGTAGAGACAGGATTTCATCTCCACCCTGTATATCTTATGTACTGCTCTGGCTCAGAAGAAAGAGTCATTTGAATTAAGGAAAAGGTACCAAGATAACCCAGCTTCTAAACCTGCTTTGCAGATGCTCTTGCTACTTGGCTATGAAGTTGTTTGTCCCATCTGTAAAATGAAGCTAAAATACCTAGCAAGTGCTGCTATTGTGACGACTGTTTATGGTGCTGAGCACTGTGGAAATGAACAGCTTCACACAAATATTTGCATTGAAGAACTGTCAGCATAAATAAAGTTGGACTCAAACTTGTTTATAAAATGTCCTAATGAATATGCATAACAGGATCAAAACAAAACACCAGGTAACTCTTAATCATGACACTTTGTAGGTTTTGAGTGCTTCATTTCACCACCTGACTATTCACCATTGCTAGTTAGTACAATATTCGTACTAATTAGTGAAAAGAAGTACCAAATTCCCAGACTTTAAAAAAGTTGTGCTTAAAAAAGCAGGAATTCCACAGTTCAGTGACATTCTGACACCCAGATGGTCTTCAGCAAGGCGAGACCTCCTAGGTCAGGACACTGACCTTTGCATCATGAGGTACCAGAAGAGTAATGGATAACAACTGAACACTGTCACCCTTTAGAGGAAGGAGACTGAAAGGGAGTTTGGACTCTTGCTGGGGGCGGGGCTGACAAGGACATGCCAACATCAGAATGACCATGACTTCCTGAAACTAAGGCTAGGAGCAAGAGGGCAGAGGGTTTTCTGCCCATTCTTTTTGTCTTTTTCCTCATGACAAGCTGCTGATTTGTTGTCTTCCCACTTTTGCATCTTTGTCCCAGCCTTCAACTCTTGTCAAGTTTTAATCTGGACTCCAGGTTCAGGCTCAGCAATTCCTAGCCTCCAACCACACAGCCTTCACGCCTGTACTCCACCAACTGCCGTGTAGCTGTGGCACTTGTCTCCCTTCAACCCTCTGAGGCCAGTGGGTGTTAGCCCGAAAGGCTGCTAGGCCAGTTCCCGCTTGCTGTGGGAATGTTCTCTTCCTGTGTACAAAACTGTCAGGTGGAAGGACTTGTCCCATAGCTTGTTAGTCCTGGACTGCCCAGGTCGCTGCGGAGGTGAGACACTAATCATGGGTGAACGCAGCAGTCCTGTCTCACCCGGGCTCCATCATGGACATTGGGATCTTGTGCAAGGCACCTCTTCTCTCTGACTGCACAAGCATCATGCAGTGGTGAGTAGTTAGTGTCTAAGCTGCACCTTGAATGCACATTTCTAGAGACACGATAGAACAATATTTTTTTTCTCATTGAAGAAATAAATAATGCAGAGTGTTATTAATGCTAGTTGAATTTCAACTCCAAAACAGGAAAAACAATAATGGGATACATTGTTTAATGAAAGTCCGTGGGACTCATTCCTCAGTTTTTGTGATCTAATATTTACAAAAACAAAGTAATTTAAAAAGTCTTTGACGTGCTCACAATAGATCCTTCAAAGCCCTGGATACCAGATAATGCTACAACTGTATCACAGAACAAAAAAGAATAAGACAGGATATCTCTTTTCATGCCAGCAAGCATCCAAGCCACATTCTCTTTGCATCCGAGTTTTAGAATGGATGTTTTTAACTTACTTTACATATTGAAGATGTGTTTATAAGATAAGCTTAGCACTGATATGAAAACACATAGAACTGCTGTAAGATCATTTATGCTTTAAATAAGCAGACAGTAGTTCAGAAAATCTCATTTTACCAGCTTGTTCGCTCCCACAAATTTTTTTAACATTCTTTGGGAATGACTGTTTAGGAACCCAGACTCCCTCGCCATCAGAGGTGCTCCATGCACTCCTGCATTGTATGTTAAGATGTTGCTTCTCAGCTAATTTCTACCACGCGGTGTTTATGCATTCCATTTTCCAAACTTAAGTGTCCTACTGAATCAATTGGCATCAGAAAAGTAAATACAGCTTAGATTTGGCAAAAACATTAGTAATGCCTCTCTCAATGTTTTCTGTCCATATGATGACTGCTAGACTCCCTTTCCTGCCTTGTTTCTTCCTTTGTTAGCTACTGTCCCTTTTTTCCTAGTCGGTAGTACTTCACTTTTACCCATTAGGCTGTGCAGTAGGCAAGCCAAAAGTGATGAGTCAGCCACCAGCACCAGTCAGCCTTACATTGATCAACAACAGTTTACTATGCGGAACAATCAAAACGAATTTGTTTTAGCAGGAAGCTGAGGACAGAAAAGCTCTAGCAGCCATGTACGATGGCATTCTGTCCGACTAGGTTCTTTTTGGGAACAGCACATGGACTAGCTGCTGTCATCAGTGCCTTCTATGAGAGAACTGAGCAATACCTCCCTTGCTGTATAGAAGAGAAAATATGGATAAGTGAATAGCTCATCTGTGCTACGGAGTAGTTTTAAAGTATGTTTTATTGACAGCTTTAGGAGAAGTGAAAACAGAGAAGTACATTTATATTTAAAAGTACTTATGGGATGTTATCTAGATAAACATAAATAAGTTGAATTTAAATTGCAAAGAGGACAAAAGGAAGGCATTTGAAAAGAGAAGCAGTGATGAATACCATTTCAGACTTGGGGAGAATGTATTTTGACTAATAGTACTGCCACATCTGCAAAGCGGAAAGCCAGTAGTCAGGGTGAGGACTAATTTGCTCAAATACAACCGTTACTATCTGTGAAGTATCACCTGACTGCGTTACTTAATACAGACCACGGATGGCTTCAGCCTCACATGCATTTTCATTAATATGTTCCCCTGTCATCCCCTTCCGTCTCCCCTGTAACAGCTTACAGCACGCTCTCACAGAAATCCCACTGACATTAATGGGAAGTGAGCTTGTCCAGCAACTCGCAACGTATAGTCCAACTGGCAAACCTTTACCCATAGTCTTTTTGTGGGGCAGAAAGCGTATTTTCCTTGCCTTATCTGTCCTGTCCCTCAGAAAGAATGAGGATGTTTACCAGCAGCCAAGCTCCTGTTTTCCTGCGCAGTTACCTGCCCCAACACGCTGCTGGTCTAGCAAATACTGGGGATGGAAGGGTCGCCTCCAGCTTTCTGTGGGGTAAGAACAGCAGTAGCTTGTATTTTCCCCATGCTTTGGGTGGATCTACATGCTCTCTAGGCCTGGGCAAAGCAGACAACTGCCTCTGCGGCAGTCGGACCCAGGGCAGCAAAAGTGCTGTAGCTGAACTGCTTCGTGTGGCCCTGGTGCTGCGAGGATGCTGTGCTGCAGCTGGGGCAGGGGCTGGGTCACCCAGGGCTGTAGGGCTGAGGGGACAGCTGCTCCTGAGCTGCTCCAGTGTGCTGGGGGGCATGAGAGGAGTGAAGCTCTTGGCAGCTGCAGCTGCTGCCTCCACCTTCCCATCCTCTCTGGTGGATGGGAGAGCGGGATGCTGGAGCTCCAGGGCTCTTGCCTTGAGTATGCACCACTGGGTTGTACTACCCATGGAAAACTGCCCCAGCCCTGACCTCTGCTGCATCTGTACTAGGAATGACCTTGGCCCCATGTCCTGGAAAGCAGCAAAACTCAGTTCAGAGAGGCCTTGGGCCAGCTCATTTTGAGGCCCCTGTTTCACTGCTCCTGCTTTCTACCATCATAGTGTCCTGGATCCCTATGGAATTGCTATATATGAGCTTCCATGGAGTACAGGAGTAGCAGGCATGTGCAGGGAGATGTGCCTTGATCTCCTCTGACAAAGGACTGTAAGTGTCAAACCCCACCAAAGCACAAGGAAATGAAGGCAAGCAAAGGGGAGGGCTTTTTACTGGTGAAGAATATCAAAGTAAAAATTAACTAGTATAAGGTTAAAAAGGTTTTTGTAAGTCCACTCTGTTAAGAAAAAACTCCAACACCCTACAGGATTACAATCATTTTCCTGAAGGGCTAAATAATCTTTAATAAATTAATACAACAATAATTTATTACTAGAAAGCTTACCAATGGGTTTTCAGGACTCTTACAATCTCTAACAATATACGTGTTTAACATACTTGAGACAAAATAGCACATAGTTTTTCTTTCTGAATCACTTGTGGGAAGAAGACTTCCACAGACTTGATGTCAGGTTCTGGGAAAAAAAACTGACGATGCTCTTTTAAAGAACAAGGGTCAAGCGGTATCTCTACTGTTACTGAACACTTTAGTCTCAGTAAGATGATGATACCACTGATATTAGAATTCACAGAAATCCCTTCATATTTTTCTCATTTTAGTATGTGTCCCCCAATTAAAAACCACTTTCTCTGTCTGTTGGAGAGAGGATTGGTGGGACATAATAAAATAATACATCTTCAGGTAAGAAAAACATTTCATTTAAGTCCATTTGGTATCTGTAAGTATTGCTTCACTTGGTTTTGTATTATCTGAGAAGCTTAATAAATCCAGTGTTTTCAGATGATTACACCACTGTAAATCACAACCTACAGACAGCAATAACAGTAATCTCTTGGGAGAGATAATAACAGCAACTAACAAATGCTGTTTAAACTACTGGTAAGTAGTGCTTGTGTAATTGCACACAGTTTATGACCTATGAGATCACATGTGTTAAGAACATAACATCGCTTTTTTCTGACACCATAGCCTAAAATCAATAATCACTACATACAAATTGTAGTACTAGTGGACTAGACAATAAATTGGTTTTGGGGCTGGCTGTGGTTCCTGTTAGCCAGTGTGTTCTCCTCTGG